AGTGACGTTGGAGGCAGGGAATACAGACGTGTGGCAGGAACGGGCATGTTTGACTGAACGGCCACTGAGGAGGTAAGGTGGGGTTTGTATTGTAAGCTGGATGAAGTCGAAGCAGGGAGCCGAGAGTCAAACTCTGACTTTTGCGTTGCTACACTACACGTAGGCTTCGGAATCACTCTTGCACCGCTGATCAGCTCCATTGGGAGGAGGCAGTGAATGACATTTGGCGTGTCGTCTTCACGTGCTTCGGGCAGCAATCCCGTAACTAACATCTTGTGCACAATGTACTGTCGCTGATTAGCCTCAATTTCGCAGGCTTCGAGCGCTTCTCTACGTCGAGACAGCGCTTCTTTTAGTTCCTTCTTGAGCAGTACACGGGCGAGGGTATTAGGGATTTTTGGAGCATGAGAGGGTTTGGATTTGGCGAATGAAACGGGATGACGCAGAGCAGTTTTCGGCTTGGCAGTAGGTTGGAAGGAAGCACCAGGAATAATGGCAGGGTCAATAGATCGAGCAAAGGAAGTACCACTAGCAGCAGAGGAAGGACGTGAATATTCAGTGGGCAGATGACCGTTTGGCAGTTTTTCGGGAGGAAGAATGGTTTGAGTGCAGGTAGAGCTGACACCGAATATGGAATAGCTGGATGAGGTAGAGGGGATCGGAGCGCTGGCGTTGATGTAGACGGGAGCGGGAGACATCTGTGCTCGGACGCCAGCGGCCGTTCGCTTTAGAGAGTCTGTCTGAACGGCCAACGGACTCATAGACTGTGGTGGCATGCTGATAGGTGGCGGCACGTAAGCTGTGGATGGCGGAGGTGCTGCTGCGTAGGACGGCGTGGCTGAATAGGAGGAGTACGATGGAATGGATGGTAACTTGCGACGACCCATCTCCTGACCGACCGAGCTGCCATCATCCTAGATATGAGGAGATTAATATGAAAAGAGAAAGGTGATAAACGAGTTAAGAGTAACTAATATAACGAGCTTTACGGTGTTTTCCTATTTAAGTCCTAAATGCCTGATATCAGAGTAAGCAAAGCATATTGCAGTTGATGACGAAAGTGTACGAAAGATGTAAGTTAGCAAAGGTAATTCCATTCATCAACTACAGCCTTGACAATGTTTATAGAGTCCTTCATGCTTAATGAAGAAAAGAAATGCACATATACGTTTGAAGCAACTTTAGTGGACATGATATTGCCAATATGAAATATTTCAGCTGCACGAGGCTATAAAAGCTGGTATCTGCGCCAGCGGGCAGTTCGGTTTAGTATCACCGCTGAATATTGCAGGGGAAGATCGCGGCGCCAGACTCCTTTCGGCTGTTGAGGAGGCAGAGCTTTTCCCCCTCTCTTTTGCTCGAGAGATCAATACCACTGCCCACTAACCAAGTTAGGCAAACTCCATCACGTCTAGCGAGCGCTCCAAAAATGTAAGTTGTCTTTTTTCTTTAAACGCTGAAGTAATAAATGCGAAAATTAGAAGAATAAAGTCTAATAAGTTGTAAGAAGAGGAAGCGAATGGATAAATTCAGGTAAGAATTGTAGACACAAACCGTTGTCGGTGATGCGCATGCCTGGAGGGAACAGGAATCTGAGAATGAAGACTAGAAGAGCAGAAAGCACGTCTGCGTGTACGTATGGAGTGCAGCAGTAGCAGCAGAGAGCAGGCAGACCGAGCCTCAGGGCGGAGCCTTCACTGCACTCCCTCCGCCCTCACCCGCGACGCTGCATCCGCATATTGATAATCCTCCGCTGGTTCCTGCTGTCCTGCCAGTATTCTTCGACTTCCGAGCTCACAATTAGCATGCATTCCCATCATACTGTTCTACAGCGAAACTCGTTCTGACTACTTCAGTTGGCATCGTGAACATCGACGACAAGAAGGGTGTCCTCACGTGCGCTCGCATCGATTGGCTTTGAGGCTAATCCCCTCAAAGTTGCTTTTGGGAAAAGAACTATAGGCGGAAGAAGAGGATTCGGATTAGTGAAGTACTGCCCACCGCAAGGAAAGCTTAACTATCAGCATGCAGCGCTTACAGCCGATACTAAAAAAGTTTTAAGATTTTAGCAAATTTTCTCGAT